ATGTCGAAATCCATGAAGCAAATTGGGTTCGAAAGCAACAATCTCCAAGTGTTGCATTGAATTTGACGTCAAAACCCAAAAGTGTTTATGGTTCTTATGAAGATGTTCTTAGATCGTTGAAGAACACGAAGAACGAGTTGTACAATACGCATCGTGGGTGGTACAATGTTCAAATTGGAGATTTTCTCGTTCCAACAAAAGAACCAAGATCTTCTAAATTTGATTCGTTCGTTATAAATGGAACTCGAATCGTCAAAAAGGTATCTCAAATTCTCAAGTGGATTCCTAAACGTCCATCATTTTGATTCGTGCTTTTCGTTTTTCATTTGATCGATTTGCCTCATTGGATCGAATTTGTTTCCACCCCCATTGATATAATCAATAGTTGTTCGTCATTTCACATGTACACTCACATCTATTGCTTGTACTATCGGCTTATTCAAATACAGAAAAAGTCAAATCTGATTTTCAAGTGATGATTATGTGAATTGGTGGAAGAAATTAGTTCATACAAGTTGTTTTGAGGCTATAGATGTCGAACTCAAGGTTGATTTGAGGTTCAATTTCAAAAATAGCTTGGAATTGAATTTTGATGTCAAATGTATTCTTGAGAACGAAGGCACTGGAATGTTGTTGATGTGTGTTTTCGAAGGGTTCTCAAAGGATATACTATGATTTCGAAGGCATGGATCGATTGTCAAAGGATTTGGGATCGATAGTCAAAAGGAAGATGGTTAATTGATTTTGATTTCGAATCCTTTGGAGTCGACGGTATTTCGACTTATGATTAAATGGTTATGTCGACAGTGTGATTTTGAACTGATAATCAATTGGGATGAGTCGATGTTCGAAGTCTGGACTTGGATTCATTGGTTGATGTTGGTTCGAAATTCTGTTGATATTGCTTTTGGAATCGTTAACGATGGATATAAGATTGATTTCGAAGGCTGTGAAATCAGTTGCAGTTGTCGATGGATGATAGTCGACGTCTTTGGAATCGATAGTTTGGAGGATCGATGGTCCTTTATTGAGTTTCGAAGGCTTGATAGCTCAAAAGCGAAAGCTTGGAGTCCATTATAAATGTCGATGGCTATATGCTTGATAACGAAGGATGATTTTGGTGTGTGGATCAATACTTTGATGTTGAGCTGTTAAAAGCGAAGGCTGATTTGGAATCGTTTTGGGAATCGAATTTAATTTGGAATTGTTGATGAATATTGATGTCGAACGAAGTGTGGATTGTTGTTCGCTATTAGCACCTTGGTTAATGGCATGCTAACGAAGAACGAAATCAGTATGTTGAAATCAAATGGTTGGTCTAAGTCGATGTGCGAAGGGTCCCTGTGTTGTCGATGATTTTGGATTTTGATATCGATGGGTTGTTGAAGCTTCATTAACAAGGAGTCGATGATGGATTCATTAACGAAGGGTTGGAGTGAGAGTAACGAAGGGGTGTTGTTCGTTAGCAAAGCATTGTCAATGTTCAAATGTGATTTGTTAACGAAGCCTTCTCAATGAACAGTGACTTCGTTACTTGTATCACGAATTGGGAAGAAGAAACCAAGCAAGTTTCGAATTGGGTCCCTACACTTTTTAGGAAATGACACAAATGGTCCAAATTCGATATTGGTGTAACAAATTGTGAAGAATTGAAATATTTCTCATTTAGTCCCTGATCTTTCGAAATGTTGGCAAAAATAACCTAACTTCGAAATTGGACTAACAAAGCTGAGAAGTTGAAGAATATGCGAGTTCAGCCCATGCAGTTAATGCGAATTTACATTTTCTACGCAGTTTTGCAAATGAGGGAGTGTTTCGCATCTTTGGCTGTTTTGAGCACAACGGGTCCATGTAGAATTCTGAAATTGACAGTTTTTACCCGGATTTTGGAAAATCTTGCAACTCTCACCCAAATGTCGAAAATTTTCACAAATTGGAAATTTTTCAAGATTTTTTCGTGATTGTTTTTCCATGCAAGTTTTTCGAGGTTTCATTTTTGGCACACATCAAGGGGGAGTTATGTGAAGAGTATTCCTCAGGCGCTTCTTGCCCTTAATGGGTTTTTATAATCATTTTTTGATTATAAAAAAAGGGGAGAATGAAGAGTGGGTATTCGAAGCTTTGGGAATTCATTAGCGGATTTGAAGATCGGTATCACTTCCAGGGGGAGTTTGGTCTTGATTGTGGGAGATCGTTGGATATTGAAGCCGAGACATCTAATCCTAACTTTGAGGGGGAAAATGTTAGGGTGCAAAGTCACGCTTGGATGTATTTGTGCTTACCGACTTGTAATGAGTTGTCTTTCCTATAAATAGAATGTGAGTGACACTCATTTATGGAATGATCATTTTGGAGTGTTAGACTAGAGAGAGAAATTGTACAATATCAACTTTGTATATTCTTTCTAGATCTAATGAGAGCTAAACCCAAGTTTATTTATCCCATGTGTTCATGATTTGTATGATGATTCACTAGATTTTTCATATTCCGCATTTGTCATCATAATCAACAACACTAAAAAGGTGCTCCTCGTGTTGCTCCCTAGTCTTGGAATACACCAAGATGTCATCAATGAAAACAATGACTAATTGATCGAGCATCAGCCTGCATACCCAATTCATCAAATCCATAAACGTCGCAGTCGTATTGGTGAGCCCAACAGCTTCACCACAAACATGTAATGACCGTAATGATGGGTTTTGAGCAGTACAACATTCCTATGGTGTACATGCAACCCTAATGTTGTGGATCTAGTTTTTTCTCCAGTTATACATGCAATTCATATCCAAAGCATAAACCGTAATAACTAGCATACTAATTTCGAATAGACACATAAAATAGGGTTTACATATTACCTTTCTTGTTGTTGATTTGATCTTGACCTTCAAGAGCTTAGTGCCTCAAATGTTGCACCTCTAATGGAGTCACAAACACCATTAGCAACAAGGTATAACAAGAGAAAGAGGATAAGGCCTCAAAAATGGCTAGGGTTCTCTTAGAAACTTATATGTGCCAATTTTTTGTGCCTTGGGGTTTCTTATATAGTTGAGCTATTAGGGTTTTAAAGTAGAAACCCGAATTTCCCTTGCTTAGGCCCTAAGTAACACATGGAACCCATATGGCAAGCCTTAAACGAAATTCTATGGGATCCCATATATTTTCATCCATCTTATGCCAATAGGATCCATTAGCCCAAACTATAACTATTACTGATTTACATAATCAGTCCCCGACAATTTAATCAGTCTCTTTTGATCACCGAATTAATTCCAAATTAATTTATGATCAATACTAATTAGATAATATGATTTCTCAATTAATATATTATTCTTATAATATATTAATAAATCAGGATAAACCTTTTTCTCCATAATTCATCCTATCAAATTGTTATGGTGAAGGCAACCACTACAAGAAAAATACCCTTTTACGACGCGCAAACCACGACACTCATTGATTTATGTTACGCAAAAGAGAGTGACATTAAAAAAGTGTCGTCTCTTCAAAAAATTTAAGAATTTAGGTCACGCATTATTGCGTGCCCTTAAATTAGTGTCTAAACAAAAAAACACGGAGGGCACATGTGTGTCATCTAAAGATGTCGCTTTATACATTTTAATGGAACACGCGTTCCATCCTTTAATAGCAGGGGGGAAATGAAATCCTAAAAAATTAAAAACCCTGCTTTTCATCCATATTTTAGGGTTTCCATGTAAACCCTAGACCTCATTTGCAGGTTTCGTTCTCTGATGAAGTTGTTGCTGTTCGGGAAGGAATAACGAATTCATCCTCTCCATCAGTCGACAACCTTCACTCTCTGCTTCTCCTTTTCTCTATAAACCTTAGACCTCATTATGCGGCTGTAACCTGCAGTGCTCAACGATGTCGACTATCCTGTTTTATCTACCATTTTCTCCCTCTGATACGTTAAAGACACGCCATCCCAAAATTGGAAGAACTAGGGCTTTTGTGCTCTGGATCTCACATGAAACAAGTTTTCCTCGTCCCCACCCTTACCCATCCTAATTCATTCTTCTTCAAATGATTATATGTTCTTACCTCTCAACCGTACCTGAATCAATATCTCTGTCTCTCTTGTGTCTATTCTCTCAACATCTCTCACGCTTTCCTATTTACATCCAGAGTTTAAGAGCGAAAAGAAAAAAGAAGAAAGAAAAGATGTGCCTTTTCTTCCCCTGGTTCGATCACAACTTTCAGCAACTCCAAGTGCAGAAGCCCTAAAATTTTCTCGTGAGATCGTCCAACTTTCTTCTGTGTTTGCTGATTCTTCCTTTGTATCTTCGTGTTAATCACTCTTTCTGTCATATTCGTCTTCATTTGTCTGGTTATCAAATCTCGTTAACCATTTTGGGCATGATTCATGAATTACCAGTATGAGGTGCGGTGTTTCTATCTTATTTGAGTTTACATTTCTCATTCATTAATCAGAAGTATCTCGTCTTATAATTCATAATCTAAACTATCATTTCTTGGAATTTCTATTTGAGTTCACGTTTCTCTTATGTTTGTTTGATTATTTTTTGTCCCAATGTTGGCTGGATTGTCTGATTTAACATCTAACTCGAGACCTGAACTGCACTACAGGTCATGTTTGAGTTGTTATGCAACCTTTTCAATACTTTTTACAAGGTATGTAGAAAGCTATGTTTTTTATTTACTTTAATTTCATAAAACTTTATACTTTTTTTATTTATAAAATATGTTTGTTACTGTTTCAGGAGGTATGTTTTATGCTGCCCCCACTGTTTAATTTGCTGTTAGATTGTGCCAAGAAGATAGACCCGTCAGTGGCCTTGATTTTATGTTTATTTTTTTATGCAGTCTGTCCCTTGTTTGCCTGATCTATCATCATCAAAAAGTTTAGCTATAAGGAAACTAAAAGGGCAACTAATAATTTCGGTACCCTTATTGGACAAGGAGGATTTGGTAGTGTATACAAAGCTCAATTTAATGATGGATTAATATTAGCAGTGAAACGTATGGATAAACTTTCAAAACAAGCTGTTGAAGAATTTTGTAAAGAAATTGAGCTTCTTGCAAGACTTCATCATCGACATCTTGTTTCCTTAAAAGGATTTTGCATTGAAAAACATGAAAGGTCAGTTGTTTATAAAACTAATTCTTTTTATAGATGTTGTAAATGAAGAGTTTTATAAATATTGCTTCTTGTTTTTGCAGGTTTCTTATGTATGAATATATGGCAAATGGGAGCTTAAAGGATCATCTTCATAGTATGCATCGTTAAATATATTTCATGTGCTAATTACAGAAATACCATTATTTTACCATTTGAATTTTCCTTATTCCAATAAAACCATAAAAGCTACAAAAAATTTTACAATTTAACAATTTTGACCTAATATTACAAGTCAAAATGGTTGATTTGGAAAATTTTAGTGGTTAGATTGGAAAAAATAAAGTTTTAGTTGTTAAATTGCAAAAATTGCCATGTTTTTTTTATCTTTTATGTAATTTGCCAAGATTTCTTTAATTCCTATTTTTCGTTTTCTGAGTTTGTTATGCTTGTGTGTAGCTCCAGGTGTCCCTTCGCTGAGCTCGCAGACAAGAATTCAAATCGCAATCGATGTGGCAAATGCTTTAATAATAATAATAATAATAATAATAATAATAATAATAATAATAATAACAACAACATAAAAGAAGTTTAACATTTATTTGGAAATGTATTTTCTTTTTTGGTATTCTGATTTATAATTTTGTATTCAGGAATACCTCCATTTCTACTGTGATCCTCCTTTGTGCCATAGAGACATAAAGTCTAGCAATATATTACGTGATGAGAATTTTGTAGGAAAGGTAATATGCTTTAATTAATCTACTTATTGAATTTTTAAAAATAAATTAAAGTTTCATATTCTGATATTTGTGATCCAGGTGGCAAATTTTGGGCTTGCATATGCTTCTAAAGATGGATCCATTTGTTTTGAACCAGTCAACACAGAGATCAAAGGAACTCCTGGTTAGAAAAATAAATAAATACTAAAATTTACTTATTCATAATAAACAAGAATATTTAAAAATAAATAAATTCTAAAATTTCATTTAACTTACATATTGAATTACAAAATTGATCCTTCTGCTTTTTGATTTTACCATGTAGTCTAGAAGTTTTATTACTAAACTCCATTCCATTTCCTACCAACCAACCAACCAAACACATAACATTTTGTGATTTCGATTCCGATTCTGATTCCGATTTTGTTGGGTTAATCGGGTTTCGTTCACGGGTTACGGGTCAGTCAAGGAGTTATGAGTTTGCATGGTTAACGGTAGTTTTTGATTTGTTTATGTTGACTAGGTTTTAGTGGATAATAAAGTATGACTTGGTGTCATGTAATTAGCTAAACGTGGGTTAGCTTTTACTGCGAAGTCTATCCATTAGTTTAGGAAGTTAGTTTTGTTTTATTCTATTTATTTTGAAGCTTTCATATATATAGATTGTACTTTTCGTTGTTTGGAATATACAACAGAGAGAAAAAGTACCAAAACTAAGTGTGTCTATCTTCATTCTTCCTTTTCTATCTGGGTGTATTTTGAGCCATATGTTGGGGTTGAAACACACTTTTATTCAGAACTAGAACAAAAGAGAAGTGCTTACACGCTCAATATTACAAGAAAAAGAAACAACCCTATAATACTCACTCTAAGTATTACACACTACACTCTCTGTTTGTGGTGTCTTACAACTGAGGTTAGAGCCTCTATTTATACTTAAACAAGCCTACAATTACTACTGCTACCATTTATTGTGTTCATTATGTGAACATACGAAGTTGCCATTTGAGTTCTTATTGTCAACATAAATAGAGGCGCATCTACTGATGTCAGGTTCACACCAAGTCTGGTTTACACTCACATTCTCCCCCTTAAACCGAACTTGGCTAGAGATTCGTCACGCCGATCATGTTTCGCATTTCACTATGTTTCACGTATGCTAAAGCCTTTGTAAAGATGTCCGCCCATTGATCCTTCGAGTTGACATATTCCACTATAATTTGCCCACGTTCAACACATTCTCGTATGAAGTGATAACGAATGTCAATGTGTTTGCTTCGACCATGAAACACAGGATTTTTCATCAATGCGATTGCTGACTTGTTATCGACATATAAGGTGATAGGCATAATATGATGTCCCGTGAGCTCCTGCACGAGATTAGCAAGCCAAATGGCTTGACATGCTGCTGTTGTAGCTGCCATGAACTCGGCTTCACACGTGGACAAAGCAACAGTCTTTTGCTTTTGGGATTGCCAAGTTATCGCATTCCTTCCCAGATAGAAAATCATTCCACTTGTGCTCTTGCTATCAACAGGGTCACCTCCAAGATCACTATCGGTAAAACCAACCAAATCTTCAATTTCACGACCTCTTCCATAGTTGATTCCATAATCAATGGTTCCTTTTACGTATCGCAAGATGTGTTTCACAACTTGGAAATGCAAAGTGGTTGGTTCCTCCATGAAACGACTTGCAATTCCAACCGAAAATGACAGGTCTGGTCGAGTGTGAGTCAAGTACCTCAAACAACCTACCACTCGCCTATATTCAGTTGGATCAACTTTTTCACCATCTTCATCCTTCTTAACCTTCAACTTAGGTTCCATTGGTGACGTTGTCGGATTGCAATCCAGCAACCCAAATTGCTCTAAAATCTTCTTTGCATAAGCCGTTTGTCGCAAAGATATTCCCCACTTCTTTTGCGAAACTTCGATTCCAAGGTAGTAAGAAAGTAATCCCAAGTCACTCATTTTGAATTCTTTCTTCATTTGTTCTTTGAATTCGACAACATCATTAGTGTTCGACCCGGTAATGATCAAGTCATCAACATAGACACCAACAATAAGAATTTTGTCTTTTGAGTTCCTTTTGTAAACAGCTGGGTCTTGTGAACTTTTTGTAAAACCAAGCCTTTTTAAGCTTTTATCCAAACGAATGTTCCAAGCTCGAGGAGCTTGTCGTAGACCATAAAGAGCTTTATAAAGCTTGAACACCTTGTGACTGTTTGCTTTATCAACATATCCTTCTGGTTGGGTGACATAAACCTCCTCTTTGAGATCTCCATTGAGAAAAGCCGATTTGACATCGAGATGGTGGACAACCCACCCATGTTGAGCTGCTAAGGCAAGAATGAGCCTTATGGTGTCAAGCCGTGCTACCGGTGCAAAAACTTCATCAAAGTCGACTCCTTCCTTTTGTACAAATCCTTTTGCTACAAGTCGAGCTTTATGCTTCACCACTTTTCCCAAGTTGTCTTTCTTCACTTTAAACACCCATTTCAAACCGATTGCTTTGTGTCCGGATGGCAAATCGGTAAGTTGCCATGTTTTGTTCTTCTCGATTGCATCCAACTCTGTTTGCATAGCCTCCTGCCATGCCTTAGAGGTTACCGCCTCTTTAAAATTCAAGGGTTGATCCGTTGCAATCATCAACAATTCTCCGGGTTCAAGGAACACATTTTCGGTTTCAGAATAAATATCGGTTAACGGACGCAATCCCCTTGGCCCAATCTCACTAGAAGGGCTTTCCATATGGGGCGAGGTTGAAGAAAACGGGGCTGAGACAGTAGTATGTGGAGCTGGTTCAGGCTCGTCAAATTCAGCATATGGTTGTCTAACTTGGATAGCATCGATTCCTGGGCTGTTTGGTTGTTCCGGATTGATTTCGGGGTCATTTTGAGGTGTTTCGAGGTGTATTTGGGGTTGTGGTTCAATTATGGTAAAGGTCTTAGGAGTCACCATCTCTTCTTCTTTGTTTTTGTACCAATTCCATTCTTCTTTTTCGTCAAAAACAACATCGCGACTAACTCGCAACTTTCGGTCTTGCGGATCAAACAAACGGTTGCCTTTAGTTCCATCTTCCACACCTAAATACACCATCTTCTTACTTCGATCATCAAGCTTCTTCAAGTGACCACCTACAAGTTTAGCAAAAGCAACACAACCAAAAACTTTTAGATGTTCAAGGTTGGGCTTTTTGCCAAACCACGTTTCATAAGGCGTCTTGTCGGGAAGTACTTTTGTTGGCAGGCGGTTGAGAAGATAAACTGCATGTCTAACCGCTTCTCCCTAAAACTCTCCCGGAACATTTCTACCTTTGAGCAGACTTCTTGCCATGTCCATAACGGTCCGATTTCGCCTTTCTACAACTCCGTTCTGTTGAGGCGAATATGGTGTCGTAAGATGCCTTTGAATACCATTTTCTTCACAAAATAATGAGAATTCTTTTGAAGTGAACTCTCCCCCTCGGTCCGTTCGAAGTGTCTTTATTTGATAACCCGAATTCTTTTCAACCATCAACTTGAACCGTTTGAAAGCGCTCAAGGCTTGAGACTTCTCCGATAGCATGTAAACTCACATCCACTGGCTAAAATCGTCTACCAAAAGGAGAAAATATTTACTCCCTCCAACAGACGTAGGTGTGATCGGACCACATAAGTCCGCATGAACAAGTTGTAGAGGTTTTTGAGCTCGAAAAACTGCATGATCCGGGAAAGGAATTCGGGTTTGTTTGGAAAGAACGCACCCTTCACATACTTGGTTTGGGTGCTCAATCTTTGGGACTCCGATTGCCATAATTTTTTCGGACAACTTCTTTAAGGCGAGAAAGTTAACATGACCGAGTCTAGAATGCCATATCCAAGCTGGTTCGTCTTTTGTTGCTAAAAGACAAGTCGGTCTACCGGTCCTTAAAGGAGTTTTATATAACCGGTTTGGGGATCGTTTAACTCTCAAAAGTAGAGTTTTGTTTCTGTCAAACAATGTCAGATCCGACCCATCCATTATGACCCGACTCCCTTCCTCCGTCATTTGTCCAAGACTAATAATATTGTTTTTTAGACTTGGAATGAAATATACCTCATTAAGGAGTCTTTGGTCGCCATTTTTGCTATCGAATAAAATCGACCCTTTTCCCAAAATAGCGACGGTCGAACCATCCCCAAATTTCACATGGCGCGTAACGTACTCATCTAGTTCGCGAAACTTTGAGCGGTCTCCAGTCATGTGATTGCTAGCACCGTTGTCGAGATACCATACCTCAGACTCGACTCGACTTTCTCCCGATGCAAGAAGATTAACACAAATATTCTCTCTTAGAGACACCTTTTTGTGTGCATATTCTTGTGAGGTTGCCATCATTAAAATAGGCTCTTCTTCGTTGGCTTGAGTGAGGTTTGCCTCCTCACCTCGATTCTTGTTTGGACACTCCGAAGCATAATGACCAAATTGTTCACAAGTAAAGCATTTGATTTTACTTTTATCCTTTCGAGAAGGATTATGGTCATTCCGATTTGTATTGTACTCGCGACCACCTCCTTGGCCACGTCCACGACCTCGGCCTCGTCCCCGGCCTCGGTTACCATGTCCTCCTCGTCCTCTTGAAGTGTTTGACGAGTTTCTCTCGCCAATTTGCTTCGAACGAGATGCCCACTCGGCATGTGTAAGCAATAGAGAAGGTCCTTCTTCTTTTTCTCCATAGCTTCGAAGTCTCTCTTCATGGGTCTTAAGACGACCCACAACTTCTTCCACCGTCATATTTTTCAAATCTCCGAATTGCTCGATCGATGTTACGATTTGTATAAATCGTATCGGTACGGCTCGCAAAAACTTCTTCACAACCGTAATTTCTTCAATCTTTTCACCAAGAGATCGAATACCGGTTACGATAGTATTCAATCTCATGGAAAAATCATCTACCGATTCACTGTCTTTCATCCGGATCACCTCGAAGTCACTTCTCAAGGTTTGAGGTTTAGCCTCCTTGACCCGATCGGCTCCCATGTGCATCATCTTGAGCGTTTCCCATGCTTCTTTAGCTGTGTCCTTCTCAGCTAACATCAGAAGTACGTCCTCTGGAATTGCTTGATAAATAGCCGCAAGAGCCATCCGATCTTTACGTTCGTCCGTTTCTGCATTTTTAATTACATCCCATACTCCTTGTGCTTGTAAATTCACTCGCATTTTTAT